ATTCCAAAGACAATAGTAAATTTCCCCACTTTTTACTATATGTTTTCACTGGTTCACTGGCGGATCACGAATTAAAAATGTAATAAACTTAAAAAATACCGTATACAGAATTTTTATATTAGAACAAGCCTTTTGTATAATTCTTGACGTCCACAGAATGCGATATATATGGTATCGTACATCAGGATAATTCTTAGTATTATAGTCATATATTTCCATAAGCTATTAACTTTACATATTAAACAATTATCATCGAGAAAGTCTGTTCCTGTGCTGGGAAAATTCCAATATAAATCGAGTACAACGTTTTTTTTTTTACAATTTGCCCTTCGTGATAGAATAAAGTGAGAAATAAATTGAACAAGACTATTTGCACAAATTCCAGAATAGACTAACGATACTATCGTTTTCTTCTGCTTGGATGAGTGATGGTATTATGTTCATTTCACAGTTACGACTGGAGATAAACAGTCGTGACACTAGCATTTATTTGAAAGATAACGAATAATCAAGCGATCTACCCGAAGACATCATCCTTCAATGAAATCATCTACTTCTCGAATGTGAATTCATCGGACTAAGACACAATTCTAGTAATTAAAACTTAGAATCGATATTCACATCGGAAAACATCTCCCAAAAAGTACAAGGTCAATTTGCACCAATGTTACGAATCGACGATCGCAACTCTGTAATAGTAAATCGTATTAATATTAACATACGATACCGGTTAAAAGACGATCCTTATTCGGACTGATCATACTCTAATTAAACTTTTTAACCCTCTCAATATATATCAGGAACGTAGTAATGTATATCACAAATTGTACGATTTATTTATTATATTTTCAAAAATCTAAAAACTCTTCAAAGCCAAAAATATAAATCAGTTTTGTTAATTATGTATATAATTTTAATAATTTTTTTTCTTACTCTATTCATTTTTTCTCGCTGGATTACGTTTCAAAACGGCAACAATAATTTCAGTTATAATTTGCAAATTTTTTTATACCATACTTTTCTATGGATTGAAAAAAAAGTCACGTACGTACATATGTTTAAATTATTTTCTTTAATGAAAATTATATTGATAGGCACCTAATTTAATTTTTTATAAAAGATATTTTCAAAGACAATTATATCCACCTGGATACATAGTTCTGAATGAATTGGGTGGTATCTTAGTTTCAAAAGCAATTTATGAGCTTACAAAACTTGAAATTACAGATATAATTAAATCTCATGGTGGAAAAATGAATATAAGTGAGATTTCCAAAATAACCGGAACTGATGAAGATAAATTGAGTAACTATCTAAAAAGTAGATGATAACACTAATAACAATCAAGTTTTGTTATAGCTTCTGAAATATATATATATTTTATTTTCAATAGATCGTCTCCTTCGCGTTGCAACATCAAAAGGTATCTTTAGAGTTCTTGGTGATGGAGTATACGCTAATAATAACCAATCATTAGTATTAAGTAAAAACCATCCAAATACATATTATAATAATATTTTGACAATGGAAGAAATTTCTTCAGCATCTGAATATTTAGCTTTTGATTTAAAATTACAAACTGATAATAAAAAAGAGCAAATGACTGCATTCGCAAAAGCTCATAATGGTATAGAATTTTATGATTGGTTGTCATTACCTAATAATAAAGAAAGGTTGGAAATTTTTAATAAAGGATTGGTTGAACATGATAGCGTAAGTGGCAGAGGTCTTTATCAAGGTTTGTAAAAATTTAAAGTATTCATAGTATTCGTTTCTAATACGTATGATTTATCAATAAGATTATATTAATTTAACCTTTTTTTTTAATAAAGATTATAATTGGTCACAGTATAGTAACACAAAATTTGTAGATTTCGCTGGTGGGACTGGAGGTTTTTTATCCCAATTGTTGACGTCTTATCCAACAATGAAAGGTGTTCTTTATGAACTTCCTAGTGTTATTGAAATGTCTGAACAGGTTTGTATATTTAAACCAATTTTCTTAATTTACAAAATTATAAACTTATAATGTTATTTATAATGTTATTTTATTAAGTCATGGTCAATAAACCATAAACAATTATTAAACAGAATTCAATTTGTTCGAGGTATTTGTTTAATCTACATTATAAAGAACTCTATTAGACTTCCTGTGTTAATACTTCACTATTCTTGTAAAGGTGATTTCTTTATGAATCCGCCTCCGCCCGCTGATATTTATTTTCTTCGTTCCATACTTCATAATTGGTCTGACGAACAAGCCATCAAAATTCTTAAAACAGTTCGATCTGCCATTCCTTTAACTAATGATAATTCATCTTTTCATGAAACGACTTCATACTACAACCCAAAGCTTCTTATTGCTGAAACAGTGATCAGTGAACCAACTCTGCCTCTTATATATCAATTGGATTTAATAATGATGTGTTTGTTTAATGGCAAAGAAAGAACAAAATTAGAAATGGAGAAACTTTTGGAAAAATCTGGATGGAAATTTACGAAAATTACTCCTTGTAGAGGTGGATTTAGTATCATTGAAGCAGTTCCTATATAAATTCAAAGTAATATAATAAAGCAAAACTCAATATCCAGAGAAATATTAAATCGTCAACTTTCTCTGCATCAAATTGCTGTTATGCAATTTTTATATATAATTAGAATTTAATGACAGATCTACTGTATAAATTAATAGCTTAATCATTCGGTTTAAAAATTAAAAATTTGAACATTGCTAGGGAGACAAACATTTCATGACTAGTATACAAAACTATATTGTACGTAATGCTGGTTGTACCCTTCAAAATCTTAGATCTGATTGTACCGCGTGATCTTATTTGTCACGCATCAATTATTTTCACATACTATTTCATTGTGCCTTTATATTTCTGTAATTTCTATATACAGATAATGTGAACTGACAAAGTTATGTGCCACACCACATGACACCGACTATGCTGAATTTTCGTATCTTTTTTGAAAAACACCTTCATGATTTCAATATTTTTGGAAACTAGTTCACGAATAAGATTTTGATATTCATGTACGTATGGTATAAGCGCGAAATAACGCGTAGGGGTGTTATTTTGAATAATGGTTCGAATTAGGCAAAAATACCCTGCGTATTATTTTCGCGCTTATACCTGATATGGTATTCCTTATCAAAATAAATTTACTGTTAAAATTTTTTTGAATCCTTTAGGTTGCCTATGATCCTATAATTAAAATAAGAAATAATATAATGAAGATAAATAATATGTTGAAAGCATTTTGATTATTATAATGTAAAAAGCATACATATAAATTAAAGTATCCAAGATTAGTTTATTTTTCGTTGTTACATTATATGAAATCTGAAACTTGGGTGATATATTTTATCTATTTGGTTTATTTTTTGTCAGTCCTATTTGACGATTTTTCGGGAAATTGAGATTGCTATTTGGTGAAATTGGATAAAATGAAAGAAAATGATAAATTGAAAAATCGAATAATTAAAAAAAAAAAATTTTGAAAAAATAGGTCGGCAGTAATGCAAAACGAAAAACCAAGTTTGCTAGCCTTAAATACTATTGTTGACTTTATATATTATAATGTTATTTAGTATTATAACTTGGATAGAAGATAGTGTAATAAAAGCTATATCATTATCTTAATTTTTTGTGTATACGTTGTGAGCGGGTAAATGAACCCTACTAGTTCTAATTTAGGGTTATGGTCAGTAATAGTCCCGAATTATTGGTA